TGGAAACAATTTTTAAAGTGGAATCTTGCTGTTGTTTTTGTTGTAAAGTCTTAAAATCTCCTTCTACATGTTCCAAATTAGGACTCCTATGAGCGAGCGAAGAACATCCTGAAGACTCATGCAAAAGAACACAAGAATTTAGCAGAAGCTCTATTGAAATATGAGACTTTGGATGCCAAAGAAATCCAAATTGTTTTAGAGGGGAAAAAACTAGAAGTAAGATGATAACTTCTGGGATATGTAACTGATATTTGAAGAATGTACATCTAGCAATGCAGTAGTCTTACGCAGCATAGCCTTTTTTTCTCTTCCTGATGTGTGTATGGCATTAGTGTCACTTTAATATTAGTCTGTCTCTTGTGAGCTTCTGTTACTCATCTATTTGTTGTGTCTCATCAGAATAAGACACAAAATAAAGCAAGTTCCTCATTCTCTGCTCCTTATACTCTTCGCACAAGAAGTTATTCAGAAAGATAAATCTCAGGGTTGAATTCAGCATTTTGATTCAATCAAATGTGTTGAAGCTGAGCAGAAAAACATGCAGATCCACTGGTGTGTGTTGGCACAGCTTCCTGGGCCATGCTGCTACATGTGTGTTTGAAGTGATACCTCACAGTATGTGCTCTGGGATGTTATGGAGAGTGACAGACTGAGATGTAAAGCAATAGTATGTCATGTAGCTATTGCTCATACTCTGCTTGAGGTTAGAGACCACTATTAAAGACTTCTTATTTAGAAATGTAAGAAAACATTTCAAAGAATGAACAAGCTACATTGTGGGAGCACCATGCTACACAAAAATGTTAGTGGTCATGTGTCCAGTAGTCTTGGGGTTAAAATACACACATGTATGGCTGGGAGAGAAATTGCGAAAACAAGAGGCTAAATATGTCTAAGCCTCTTTGGACCATGTTTTGGGTAGAACCATAGCAGGGATAAGAGAAATACACGTGACCTCTGATGTGCTGCTGACAAGTTTCTTAAAATTTTTATTACTGCAGTAGACAGATGACAGTGCTTTGATGACAGTGCTTTTACACTGCTGGAGATTCTACAGAACTAGTTTCTGTTAATACTATGTACGGTGTTTGATAATCCAACAGATAATGTCTTCGAAGAGGACAGCATTGCTCACTGAATAGTAATTCAGAAAATTTTTGAAGCATGTGTTGTTTCAAATAACATTCCCAGTTCTACTCTGTGGTAGAAGTAGGGAAATAAAACCATTTTTTTCAACCCTTACAGAAACCTTGGGAAATTCTAAGAAAATACAAAAAAGGTTTTGAAAACAAGACTAGTTTCCAGTCAAGTGGAAGTGATGACTAGCAATTATATGCCAGTATTCCTCTGATCTCATGGAACTGGATTTTAGGAATAACACATCTTGATCATAATCCTGTACCATCAGTTGTAGTGTTGTGGGATTACAAGCTTCTGTTGCAATGAGGGCATATTAATGTTGAGGGTTACCATACTTGGACATTAAAATAGTCGGGTTGGTGCCAAGAAATGTGAATGGAGACTGGTAGCTACACCTAAAACTAGAAGTAACATAGTATTAGAATTTTCTGAGTGTAATGCTTGATTATAACCTAGTTTTTTAGTAAGAGCACATGCTTTTTTTTTTTTTTTTTCCCTTTTAAGACAAGATCAACTTTCTTTTTGCCTGTTTTGTCAGCTTCTTATAGTGGTATCCTGCTCAGCGTGGGAGAACTTCCAAATATTATAAAATGGTATAGGAAATGTCTAGGCTGACTAGTTACAGTTGTACATGTATTTTGGAAATATGCCAACAGAAACAAATATACTGCATATTTGACATCTGTTTTTGGAGTAATAAAGGTTAATTTTAATTATGCACATTGGTTTTCTTATTATTCACTGTAAATTGCTATAAAATGTAATACCAAGTTCCCTAGTATGTAAATTGAGGTGTATAAAACATTTGAAATTGTAAATAAATTTAAGAATTATGGCAAAATTGCACTCTAAGTGAGATTTCTAGGGAATGTTCTCCCTAGAAATTCACACATTTTTTCAATTGCTGCTTCAGTTGTGGGACTTGGAAGGGATTTTTTCCAGCTAAGTAATGTGAATTTACATTTAAGAGAAGCAAAAAAACTTTTTCTTGTTTGAAGTTACTAAAACCTGTATTGAATGATCTTGTTTAGGGGGTAAGTTCTTGAAGTCCAACTTTTCTTACTCAAAAACTTCTTGCTGTATGCATAGGATAGCATCAAAAAGGAAAAAAAATAGTGATGTATCATTGGGTCATGAAAGATTATTACAAGATCAGCCATAAAGTGTAAAGGGTAGTTTTGCTTTCTGGCCAATTTAACAGCACAAGTATTACTGAAGAGTTGACTGTCATTCCTAGTTGGTTTTGTGTGTGTAACGTATTCCAAGAAACTTGTCTGTTGAGGCATTGGATTTGATGGCTGGTGCTCTTGGGAACACCTGGGATCTGGAATTTCTCCTTTCATATTGGGCAGAGATAGGAGAGCACTGGATTGGGTTTGTGTGGCAGGTTTTTTGTAGTGAGGAGGCTACATGGGTGGCATCTGGGAGAAGATGCCAGAAGCTTCCCTGTGTCCAGCAGAGCACTGCCAGACAGCTCTAGGAGGACCTGCTCCTGTCCAAGGCTGAGCCCATCAGCTGCAGTGGTAAAGCCTCTGGGACAACACTCTTAAAGAAGGGGAAGAAGCTCTGCCTGAGAGCAATTGCAGCCAAAGAGAGAGGAGTATGTGAGAGAAACAGCTCTGCATAGCAAAGTCAGTGAAGGAGAGGCAGAGGGTTAGAGTCCTCCTCACCCTGAGGAGGGAGGAGCAGCAGATGCAGCCTGTGATGGGCTGACCGCAAGCCCATTTCCTGTCCCACCCCCACCCTGCTTTTACTGCTTGAGGGGGTGGAGGTAAAGTGGAAGTGAAGATGAAAACTGGAAAGGTGAGGGGTAGGGGAAGATGTGGCATTAAATTTTGGTTTGTTTTCTGATTTAATTGTCAACTAAACTCATTTTACCAACTCAAAACTGTTTTGCCCATGATGGTAAGTGGTGAGTGATCTCTCCCTGCCTTCATTTCAAACCCACAGGCCTTTTGCTGTGTTTTCTCTTTGCTGTCCAGCTAAGGAGTGGAGTGATAGAGTGGCTTTGGTGGGCTCACTGTCCAGCCAGGGTCAACACATCACAACTACAAAAGAAGCTTCCAGAAATCAGAGAGGTGTTTCTTTAAGTAGGAACAGCTTCCTGCTGTTGAAAACAGGGCAGAGCTAAGTGCTTAGATACCCTGTTTGCTTTTTAAATATCTCTAAAGTGGTCACTAGCAGGGTGGCACATAAAAATAAGAAATTCAAACTTGGACATAATTCTGAATTTTCCATATTCCTGAGGCTGGCATGCCAGAATTCTACCAGCCACAAAGTTGTGGCCTGCTCCTTCTGGCTGCTTCTTACTCTGTGATGAACTGTCTGCTGAAGTGTCAGAAGGGTTTTCTAAATCTTAATCCTTTAAACTGGCTGTGAAGAGAGAGCAATCAAGCCATTCCTAACTTTCTGCTCTATTGATCTGCTTGGAAACTTTAGCTAGAAGTAAGGAGAACTATTTTTGCTTCTAAAGTATGGCCAAACAACATGATGAGAGATGAGAGTACATGCTTTAAATGGGCTGCTCTCTCTACTTCACTCAGAAGTAGATTTCCCTTTTTCCAAACTCACGACTCACAGGTGTTTATTAAGAGCCCTTCTTTTGGCGCTGGTCAACGTGAGAGCATCATCTGCTCCTTCCACAGCATCATCTGTGCATAAATGGCTGCAACATTTGCCATTAGAGCACTAGTATGGACCACGAAACATTTAATGGGAGAAGTGAGGACTCCAGTGCATGGGGTTGTGCACTCTAGTGCAATTTTTGTTTTTTCACAAATCTAGGTTTGTGTTTAGTGCCCTGTCCTGGAAGCTTAATGCTGCTGTCTATAATTCTGAGATTCAGCATGGGGTTTTGACTCTGAGTTCAGGAGCAGATTTCTTCTAAGATTAATATGAGTTTTCAGTCTTTCACTACTCTTTCAATAACTGTTCTGGAGGAAACAGAAGGATCCTGTCTACTGAATCTCATGAAATGGGCCAGAAGTCACAGGAAACAGAGGCAGATCCTGTCCCACTTGCTCAGTCAGAAGAAGCCCTCCACAGCAGCAGATTTGGACTGAATGGTAATTAGTTCTACACCAATTTTTCCAGAATTACATCAGTTACCATCATTCACTTTATTTCCAATGGGTCGTTCATGATATTGGCAACAAATTATGAATTGACTTTTACCTACTGTCTTATCCCTACAAGTTAGAAGGCCACTTCTCGTATATTCTTAGCTCTTACTCAGTGAAAGTTCTATCAACAGATCACAGGATGAACAGAATGGAATTTATGGATTTACAGTTTTAGGACTGATCTGTTTAAACCTGAGTTGCCTTTTCACTTTATCTTGTATCAGGCTGAGAATCCTTGCCCTGTCATACCATAGCACAGCGTCTCTCAGGGTGGTTACTCAGGAGGGCCATGCAAGTTCAATAACCTACAGCACATCCCTTTGCAAACTGCAGCAAACAGAAGCTACACACAAACTTCTTAAGGGTACCAGATGTTCAACCTTAGCTAGAAAATGGGACACCAAGAAAAGGCTTTGAACAGAAAATGGGAGTCACCTTGGGGTGAGTCTTCCCCAAGGTTTTCTTGCGCTGTGTTAGAATTAGAAACCTAAGCACATTTTGTCTCCTGAAGGCTTATGAGTTATTGCAGTCTGAGACAGTTCAGACCTTTTGTAATTTTCCTGTAAAACATCCAGATTTGAGCCTCTTAGGCAAAAAACTGTCTTCCAGCTCAGTGTTGGAGTGAGTTACAGCATCAAGGCAAACAAGGTGGAAAATGCAGTCCAGTGGAAATACAGTTTCCCATTGTGAAGATGTCTTGGAAAACATTTAATGTAGTCCATTAAGCTGACGCAGTGGTCAGTGTTAATAATATCTTTAATACATTCAGTAAACACAAACAAACACTTAACAATGTTAACATGTTGACATAAAAACGACAAATGCAAATGCAATCTCTAAGTTTAAATTATTTTTCTTGCCTGGCTTTTCTGAAGCCTTTGCTTCCCTGTTGTATTTATTTCTTTTATCTTTCATTTTCTTCATGTCTTATATTCCCTAACAGTCATTAAAACTGAATCTACATATAATAAATATAAATTATAACACATTAAACTTAGTCACAACCTTTAAAATTTCTCAAGCTCAAGTTTTTAAGATTTGGTATTGGATGATCGGCCGAAGTTTCCAAAAACTGTTAAAAACACTGGAATAAAAACAAGACCATGAAGAGCCCCAAACAAAATAACAAGGAACATGATCTTGAAGAATGTCCTAAAGATGTAGGTGTTTGATGCAGCCAGGACAACTATGCCTAATATTGTAGAAACTGCACCCTGTAAAACTGGGTAACCTAGCAGGGACAGAGCTTCAATTGACCTTTTATTGGCTGATGACTCTCCACTCGTAACAAAGGCATAGGAAATATGAGCAGAAAAATCTACTGAAAACCCAATGCAAATGACCAGGTTGATCATGGATATGGAATCGAGGTTGACCTTCCAGAATGTCATGAAACCAGCAACGCCAACTATAACAGAGGCTATAGCAAAAGTCACCCACAAGCAGCACAACGGGTTGGGAATGAGCAGAAGGGAGACAACGAGCATGGCCCCGGCAGCAATGACAACGTTCTGAACAGTGTTCTGCACTATCACCAGGTACTGGTCATAGTAGATGAAGGCTGGGTGATACACCTTCAGTGGAATGCTGCACTGCTTGGCTGCCTCCCTTAACTGACTGAGGAGATTCTTCTCGTCCACAGCTGATGTCACATTCACTGTCTGGATGAAGAAACGTGAAGCCTCTATTTCATCCTGAGTCTTGTTTATGTCCCACTCAAAACTGGGAATAATTCTGAACAGTACATTTAAGTTATTTAAGAAGTCAGTCTTACTGTCTATATTTACCAAACCCCTTTTGGCAAGTCCTGTGTATACTCTCAGCCATGACTCCGAGTAGTTCTTATCTACATAGGAAATGTTCTCTAAATTCTGTGTGCAGCTCTCAATGGCAAGACGCACCGACTCATTCCAGTAATCTACACTCTCAGCAATGACAACCATGACCCTGGGTCCATATGTGGAGAAGTATTTGTCTTCATCATCATAGTATGGAATAACGTAGGAGGCATCATTTGCCAGATTTCGGAGATCGATGCCTTCCCTGATCTGAGTACACCCATAAATGCTGCCACCCAAATATGCTCCATACAGTAACACCATGAGCACCTTGATCCATTTATTTGTAATAAAAGGGCCGTAATACTTTTTAAGGAATGTGCTCATGGGATGCTCACCTTCTGGCTGAGATGGCTGCCCAGAACAGCTGCCAATACAGCAAGCATTGTACAAGCAGGAGTTCTCAGCCTGATCTTTACCTACATCCACACGCATACAAGTCAGCCAGTGCCGGTTCCCTTGCTCCCTTTTGTGATTTAATACCAGAACTGCCCCAAAGAAGGTCAGGGTATATACATAGCAGAAGACAAAAGCTGTGCCCGTATAGAGGCAAAAAGACCTCACGGACGGAAAAGCAGTCCAGGTGCCAATGAAGAAGGCCAAGACATCCGTCAGAGTGGTGATGGTCACGGAAAGCGCTGCCTCTGCGTAAGTCTCAGCCAGCAGAGATTTAACATTGGACTTCTCTTTTTTCATTAAACTTTGTTCCCAGGAAGCAATCATGATGAACATGTCATCAACGCCAACCCCTGCAAGAGGAGAGACTGTTAATGCTGCACTGCCAATGGCAGCTTCCACCAACACCCAACAAAACTACAACATTAGTCACATTTCATTCTGCCTAAAATCTGAAAAAAAAGGTTGGGCTACTAACACTGCTCCAGTGCTGATGCAAGTTACAAGAGGATCTGGAAAACAGATCCTTTGTGTGTGGCTGAATGTATTACCTTTCAGCATCTCCAGGTGACCTGATGGGCTGTTGATCCCTCAGGGACCCTGCTGAAGGACTGAGCACACCTACTGCATCTCTGACAAGTGTCTTGTAGCTGATGTCCACGTGTCCCCTGATGCAGATGACACAGATTTCAAAGCATCACGTATTCTGATGCTCAACTGTTCTTACTGGAAGCATCCCCCATTATCTCTGGAATCTCTTCCCCCCCCACTGCAGCAACTTAGACCAATTAATTTCTTGTTTTGCCTTCAGAAGTCAGGAAGAGCAGTTGCTATCACATGGGAGAAGAGTGATTCCAGTTTTCCGGTGGCTTGCTTTTTTTATGCTCTTTCCCTCCACTTCTCTCCAGTTTATCTTCCAGCATTTAGTCACGATTTATCATTCATTTTTGTTCACATTTATACCAATGTGCTCACAAATATTACCTGACAGGTCCCTGGGAAAGCCTGCCAGGAAGACTAGATCCTGGGTTTGGGATTTTGCTAAGATGCCAGAGTGAGTGAGCTGAAGTTCAAAAACGAAGAGCAATGGGCTTCTCTCACCTCTGCTAACTTTCAAGATTATTATCTCACACTTTTCAGTATTTTGCCATGCCGTCAAGGGCTCTTCTATTCACTTAAAATTAATCACACAAAAGGGAAAGCAAGGTTGCACCAATAGCAGAGTGAGATTTAGCCAAGCACAGAAGAAGAGATGAAATCATTACCTGCTACCTGAACAGGCAATTGCCAGTAAACATGTAAAAAATCATTAAGCAGCACATCAAAAGTTATTACTGGATGGCAGCGAGCCAGGCTGCTTTGGAAAGCAAGCAGCCTTCAAAGCAAAGCCTCTGATGTACTGAGAATTAGTTTGCTTTAACGCAAGGAAGACAAAAGTCTGTGTGTTATTTCTGAAGATCTGAAGAGACTGGCTTAAGCCCTTTCCCAGGTATACAAAAGGACCTTTTTGATAGTAAGAGTCACTGCAATTGATGAGCAAACAAAAGTAAATAAAAATGCATTAGAATTATTCAGGAAACAAAGAAGCAATGCCTGCCCAAAGAAGCATTCGCATCGGATATCTTAGGATGATGCACAGCCTCTGTCAACCTGGGAGCTCCATGTGTTTTCCTCAGCATGAGACCAAGCCAAAGAAAACATCAGAAGAATGTATGATATGGGAGACCAGTAAGGATTTTAAAAGCAGTAATTCATTTACAGCAACATTATGTAATTGGAAACATGATCTAATTGCAGCAACACTATCAGTATTTGGAAAGTTCAGCACTGGCTGTTAAGCACTCTGTGAAGCAAGGATGCAATACCAACTTCCTTGGGATTTTGGGGGGAGCTGCTTGCACAAATGGTGCATCACTTCAGTTGTGCAGCCAACTGAGACTGGTTCGTACACAGATGTTATACTTCAGAGGATTAATCATCCTGGCTACATTTCCAGGGACACTAGAACAATGCCAGAAGTGCTAACCTTACCACTCTCCCATTTACAATCTTCCTGCTGTAGCAGTGGATCTAGATGAGGCCTTGTCTTCTGGGGAAAGCTGCCCTCGCACCAGAACCCATCTCCAGTCCCACTGAGCTGCGCTGAGGGGCTTGCCTACCTGTAGCTGCTCTGAGGGGGCTGCACCTCTGGGTATCTCCTACACTCACTTCAGGAGAAAATGTTGTATTATCTGACATTCACATCATAAAAGACTGACACCATTAGGTTGTTTTAACTTCACTCTGGTCTTCACTACTCACTTTTTCTACTTACCCAGAATCAGGAATGGTGCATTTGCTACAGTGACCACAAACGGCACTCCACAGAAGAGCATCAATCCAAAGCTGCTTAATACTGCTAAGCAAGAAGAAAGCACTCCACAGCTTGCAAGCCAGATATTATTTCTTATACAGCTCAGTCTGAAAATATTTCAAGGAATATCTTAGTTATGTGTCAAATATTTCACCAAGGTGTTTGGCATGAAAAGTACACAGATACCAGTGATACTCTCTCTCAGAAGAACTCCTGATGAAAGCAGCAAGGAGAGTTCCCAGGTGTCAGCATTACACAAAATTAACTTCTCTAGGAGGTGTTATTAATACCACTGCCCAACTATATTCAGAAGAATAAGGATGTGTACTGCTCTTTGCATCAATAACAACAGATGGCTAAATAAGGATACATAAGCTCTACTAGTGAGGCGAGACTTTGGTGATCCAAAAGAATTGTGAATTTCTAGAAGGTCTTTGATTTTACATGAGTTCTTCCTGTAGCGGATCAATGGAAGCACTTTTCAGGCAGTATGTGCCATGTAGAGAAACTTTCTCAGCAGGCAGGTTGGCTACCAGCCTTTTGCCGAGATGCCCCAGATGGCTGGCTTAAGCATTCCACAATAAATGCTCAAATAGGTATGATGCTTGATGAAAGCACTAAACTGGTCCACTCACCCTGCAAGCCCAATTTTTTTGGAAGTACAGGACACAGACACTGCTGTACAGCTATTGATTGTGCAAGGGTTCACCTTCCATCAGCACAAAGAAAGGGCAGGTTAAGTTCTCTGTGGACAGCAGGTAAAGGCTCTGACTCTACGAGCAAGCAAAACAACTAAGGCTGTACCCAGACTTGCAGGAATCTATGGAGTTACTGCTCATCCACCTGAACACTTGTTTTCATCTACCATCTAAGCAGCTGGGAGATAAGCATATGTAGACAATAAAAGGCAAAGAAAAACATTTTGCCTATAAAATATCATAGAAATTCTGCAGCTTCAAGAATGCCTTCACTTGACAAGAGCAGAAATCAACTGAGGGAGCTAAAGAACAGCAGAGATCACTGCTCATTGAGCCATAGCCTAGAGACATTTTACCTTAGGCAAGAGATGACTGCAAAACTTATTGTTAAGAAATATGTCACGGAGAAGAGTGGAATCACACTCTTGGCATTTCCTTCAAACTCCTGTTGTCTGGACAGTGAGGTAAAGTAAGTCACCTGCCGTTAAAACAAGAAACGTTGAAGCACTTTCCCTCTTCTTTGCCTTTCTGCACAAGCACAAGCAAGGCCCAACACCCAAGCTGGCAGAGGAGCATTGGCCTAGCCCTCGCAGTCTGCCTGCCTTCTCCCTTTCCTTTCCTTTTCCTTTTCCCTTTCCCTTTCCCTTTCCCTTTCCCTTTCCCTTTCCCTTTCCCTTTCCCTTTCCCTTTCCCTTTCCCTTTCCGCGATGGGGCCGCCCGGACATTTCGGGCTCGGCGGCTCCGCACGGCCGCACCCGGCCCCTGCGTTACCTGAATGGAGCCGAGGCGCAACTCCGCCACTTTGGACGAGATGCTCTGCAGGAAGCTCTCCAGCCACTGCCGGCTGTCCTGCGCCTCGGGGCCGTCCTCCCGCAGGTAGTACAGCAGCTTCAGGGCCCGCGCCCTGAGCAGCCGCCCGCCGTCCGTCTCCACGCCGCCCAGCGCGGCCCCCAGGAACTCGCTGCCGTTGACGGGGAAGCGGAGGCTGCCCGGGGCGGGCGGTCCCGCATCGCCCCGCCGCGACAGCAGCGGGTTGGGGCTGGCACAGCCGCCGGCGGTGCGGGCGCAGAGCCGCTCGTACTCGGCGTCGTGCACGGCCGCGTTCAGCCGCAGCACGTCTGCCCACGCCGCCGGCTCCAGGACCGAGGTCCCGTTCGTCGCCACGGCGATGAGGGCGGCGTAGGCGCCCTCGGTGGGCAGCCGAGGGGCGGAGAAGCGCTCCGAGTCGTTGGTAGGGAAGTGCCGCCGCACGAAGTCGCGCTCGGCCTTGGCGGGCCCCCACGTCGGCGTGAACTGCTCCTCGATGTCGTTCGCCTGCCGCTGCGGTAAGAAGACAAAGCCGGCGCCCAGCCCGCCGGACAGCAGCAGCGGCACCAGCACGAAGGGCCAGGGGCAGGCGGCCACGCCGCTCGCCAGCCCTTCGAAGAGCCGGCGCAGCGGCCGCTCCACGCAGTTGGTGTTGCGGCAGGAGCAGCGCTCCGCGGGGTCCCGCGGCCCCGCCATGGGCGAGGCGGGCACGGGCTGCGGCCGCAGCGCCTCGCCGCGGCGCGTCCCGCGCTGGGGCCCGACGGTGCGGTCTGTGCCGGCGCCGGAGGATAGGAGAGAGAGAGGAGAGGAGAGAAAGAGGGAGAGGAGTTCAGAGCAGTCCTGTACCCGGCGGAATCTCGGACCGCAGTTTTCAACGGGCGGAACCGCCCCCGCCGTGACTCAGCGGGGCTTCCGCCGCCTCCCTGAGGCTGACAGTAAGGGCCGGGCGGGCAGACCAGGCTCCCCTCAGTGCGCCCCGCCTCGGGTTCGTGTCCCCCTGCCCTCTGTTTCCCCCTTGGCTCTGGGTCCCTGGGGTCCGGCCCGTTTGCAGCGCCCGCCGTGCTGAGCCGCTGCCCGGAGCCCGGCTTTGGCACCGTGATGACCCTGCCGCTTCCCGGCACAGCCCTGCGCCTCCTTTCTTTTCTCTTCTTTCCTTCTTTCCTTCCTTCCTTCCCTCCTTCCTTCCTTCCTTCCATCCATCGTACCTCAAGGACTAACACTCGAGTTTCCATGCCAAGTGTATAATAAAACTTTGTGATTTTTTGCGGACCCTCTAACTTTTGTTGTTTCAACCACGAGCATTTATGAATCTTGAAATCTTGGCTGCTCCCTTCACCTTAAGGGTGCGACGTCCCTTTTTTAGCATCACTGACAGGATGCCATACCCATGAATTCCAGACAGTCAGTGATGGGAAGAATATAAGGTGTGCCCAGCTCCCCCAGGCACAGTATGTGCAAATTCGAATAGTCCTGAGGAAGGATTTAAATGGATAAATGTGATAAGTCAACAAAAGATATGGAAGGGAGAAAGTAAAGGAGTTTTATCTGCTATTTTTTGCCCAAAAGGAGAGGTATGCCGACAAACAGGCAGGGGGAGAAATTATTTGATCTCAACAGAGTTTGGTGAACGGACTGCAGAATCAGTTAAATGAGAGAGGAAATCGGCTTTGGTAGCAAGTGTTGCTTGCTGCCGAGTGCGATAGTGAAAGGGAGACCAGGCTGCAGGCTGCTCGCTGCCGAGCGCCGTCAGGACAAGGAAGAGGCTGCGGCGGACGCGCTGCTTGGAGCGCTGCAAGAGGCTGCAGGTACAGGGGCTGCTCGCAGCTCAGCGGGGTCGGGAAAGGGACAGTGAGCTGCAGGCGGGGCAATGCTTATGGAGCGCGATCGGGAAAAAACAAAAGAGGAGATATGGAGAAGTGGATGTCAGCTTCTCACTCTGCAATTAAAATTCATATTGAAAACATTCTGGGTTTTGATATTCCATGCCTTTAACTGCTGCTGTGCTAAATTTTGCAAAACTGGTAAGGCAAATTCAGAGATCATCCCACTTACGGGGGGCAACTCTAATCGCAGGAGTCATCCACCAAAAAGGTGAAGGAAGCAGCAAAAGTAGTATGGCAAGCACTTAATGAATTGAAAGTTAAGATTCTGCCTAAGGAATGTCAAGACCAAACTGTCCCTGACAGACCAAAGAGATCTCTATTCAACATAGCTGCATTTAAAGAGACAGAACAGAGATATCCTGTGTGGAAAATAGGACTTTTGTCACTAGCTCGAGATGTTCAACAACTTGAACCTCCTAATAATACTGGAAATGTTGCCATGCATCTGCACTGAACATCAAAGGACTGCTTATCCTCCTTGCAATATTTGCCAGCATGAGCTAAATTTGGTTCACATATAACAAGCTCGACCCACAAGGCTGAAGCCCTCTGTGAGAGCCAATTCAGTTTTGTTATGCCTCACCAATGGTTCTCAGGGGCACACAGGGGAGGGGTGCATGTGTGCCATGTCCAGGAGGCAGCTAGGAGAAGATGGAGGAAAGCCTTGTCTTTGGGGAGACTGCCTGGCAACCATGTCATGTCTCACATGGGACAGGCAGTCAGCAGGGGAACATGGAAGATAGTGTACCCGAGAGACACTGTCCAGTCAGATGGAAAAAGGTCTCTACCAACGGACTGCAGTGGGACATTGGACTGGGCCAGTGGTCTCCTGTCACCAGGTGGTCTTTGGGAGGAATCAGGGCCATAAAAATAACTGCATCAGAAGCTTTGGGAGCTCTTTGGGGGCTGTTGTGTCCTTTGGCTTTTGATTCTCTTTGGGGGCTTTTTGAACTTGCTTTTGGAGTCCTGCCTTTTGGCTCTCTTGCCCTCGCTGGCTCTTGCTCGCTGTCCCGCCTGCCTCTGTGTCCCTGCCTAAGCACCCTGCATCCAGCTCTGCCCGCCTCCGTGCCTGCCCGCCACCGTGATCCTCATCGCGACCCTGCCCAGCCCTCTGGACATCCTGCCTGAGCGTCCCGCTCCTCGTGTCCGGTCGCCCATGGCCGCGGGGGCTGTCCCCAGGCCGGCAGCGTGCACAGCCCCCGCCGCGTGGGTGTCGACTGCGCTCCCCGACCTCCGGAGGTAATGCCCTCTTTTTCCCTGGGTCTCCTCTTTCTCCCTCTCCCTCTCTCTCCCTCTCCCATTTTTCTTTCTCCTGCTCTGTCTTCTCTAGCCCTCTTTAAGTAGGGTAACTCCTTTTTATTTTTCTCTTTCATTACAACCAAACAGTTCTCAGATACAGTGTTTGCCTCGTTTGGCTTAATTTCGTTCCTGACCATCTATTTTTAAAAGGACTCCTCACAGTTTCCCACATTGGAACACAGCACAGTCGCTTCTTTATTTGTGCTAATCAGTATGGCAACTCTAGTATATTCTGCACCACACATGCTTCTCAGTTGTGGGTACAATTTACTGTGGCAGAAATTATAAAGGAGATGAAAGCAATTTGCCCACTGAAATTCAAAAGGTAACTTGACATAATGCAAGTAGATTTAAAAGGGAATTGGTATTACCTACTTAATTTCATTTATAACCCAACCAGCAGTAAAGGCACACTCTTTGTTTTAACAATGCACAATGCTGTGTGGTATATACTATATGCCCAATCATTGTGTCAGAATTAAATCACAACACAGCTGCAGCCTACCTCCTGGATAACAGAGTATGGGAGGGAATACTCTGAGGGAATGGATGTGCCTGTATGAGAACCTATTGTGACTTTGTACTTGTAGACAACCTTATGATAGATTCAAGTAATCACCATTATATTTGTGTGTGTAACTTTGTTGAGATTATAAGATGCGATTTTAGTGTTCAGCTCTTGTTGTATCTTATCTGTTGTTATGATTTAATTATGCACTTATTGTTATGATTCAATTATATATAAGATCTAGAGCCTACCCCTATTGGAATCAATCTCACCTTGATAAGAAAGCTCCTATTGAAGCAAGCACGAGAGAAAAGGCAAAGGACTTTGATTACTGTTCATCATCATGTGGAAGAAATCCACTGAGTGATGGTGCAAGTGAAGAAAGATGGGGACCTCCATTGTTGGGACATTTCATTTGGATGGTCAAACAAGCTGATAGATACTTGACATGCCTAACAAGAGAGCTGACAGGGATAGTTGGTGCTCCACATTTAAGCAGGTTGTATTTGCCTCTTTTCAAGATCTGTGGGGACCCAGCCCTATAATCAATTAATTTCTAATATCCCTAGTGGCCTTATCTCTAGGGGGTGTCAGAATATGCCTGACACTGCCCACTTGAAGTCTACATAAACCAGTCAAGAGCAGCTATAAGAAAACCCTGAAAAGCAAAAGAACAAACAGATTGTTCACTGTTCAGGTGGCTGATTTGCATCCCTGTTGCACAGCAGTGAAAGACAGATCATTTCTCAGGAGAGCAGTGTGGGAACCCAGGACATCCCTCTGGCTGCCCTGGCTGTCTCGAGACCCTGGCAGGGGGCTCAGAGACCTTGGCACGAAGTCAAAAACACCTGTGGCTTCGATTTTAGCCCGTGGAAAAAACTGCCAACTTTGTATGAAGAATTACAAGGTACAAGGGTTTGAGTAGGGTGGTAGTTGAATTAACACAGGGTGAAAAAGTAGAATTTTAGGGGTTTAAAATAAGGGGTTCAAGGGGACAAGATGGAGGGATTTGGGCATGTTCTGACCTTCTTCTCCTTCTTGCCTTCCATGTCTTGCTGTGATGGTGACACTTTTCTATTGGTTTAAGGTAGAGACACACTGTCCAACATAAATTATAGATATTGGCACATTATTGCAAATATAGTACACGTAGTTTTTAGTATAAAATGGCAACACCACCCCAAGGGGGTTGGAGTCTGTTGCAGACTGACCTGCTAGACAGACCGCAGCTCCTTGAGAAAGCATGTTATATAGATAAGAGAAAATAAACAACCTTGAGAAGCTGACCCTATGCATTCCGACTTCTTCTTTGGCTGTGCGGGCTGGGAGAAAAAGACTTTTTACGATCTCGGGGTCATCTTAACCTCCAGACCCCCGAGAAGCAGGAGACTCAGGCTCAACCCCACTCTGAAACTGCAGTGTCAGAACATTCTCTCTTCTACAGCAGGGTCCACTGTCTATCTCTGGGGCATTTTTACCCTGCCAGAAGCAAGAAGCAAGAATAATAATTCAGCCCAGGTGTCTTTCAGAAACAGCCCAGGTAGGCTTGCAAATGCACACATGACTTTGGTTGTGGCCTAATTCTCACAAGGGCTGAGCCAGCTCCTAGCCAAATAGACACCAGGTTAGGGAGAGCAAATGCAGTTTCTTGCATGTGTGACCTTCTGCACAGCATTTGAAATTAAAGATCAACATGTGCCTGGTTGTTGAAACTCCCTGCTTCACAGCCTTTTTCTTGTTTAAAAACTCTTCAGTTTGCCCCTTCAGCCTCCATTTCCCTCTACTTGGAGCAGGGCTCATCTCCTGCTCTGCCCATGGCTGCCTGTTGTCTCTGCTCACAAACTCTGTCATAATATTTATTTATTTTGAAAGGTAAAGCTGTCCCCAGTAATGCTAACAAACATTTTCTGCTTGGTCTCTGTATTTTTGTGTCTTTCAAACATTTACTGAGCCTGGAAGTGATTCCAACAGTTTTGTAGAAGCATGGAATACCTTGTGTTGGAAGGATCCTTTGGCACTCATGTCACATATGCCCTGCTCAGAGCAGGGCTGCTGTGGGTGCTAGGCCAGGTCACTCAGGGCTTTTCCCACATGAGTTTAGAGTTCCCTCCAAGGGTACATATTCCAGAGCCTCTGGGCAATCTGCCTCCGTATTTGACTACTTCATCATGACTTTTCCCCTCATAAATGCCAAAGTTTCGGTAGAGGGCCTACAGGGTGGCCTCTGTGAGGAGAGACCAGGACTGCCCTCAGCTGGTCACAGTCACTGCAAACAGACCCAGCTACGGCATGGCTGGGCCCATCCTCAGGGAGCCTGTGGCACCTCTGGAAAAGTGTCTTCAAGTGACAGTGGCAAACACCAAGCAGCAGGAGATACAAGGTCAGGGGGGGAGGAAAAGAAGGAAAGAAATCTGCAATGGAGCAGGAGGAGGGAAGAGAGAAGAGCATACCTGGGCAGGGGCTGTATCCGAGGTTTTGCTGGAGCAGGAGCTGAGAGGTGCAGCCTGGAGAAGCTGCTGCCAGTGAAGGAACCAGCCCCGTGTGCTGGTCCCAGTCTACTGTGCTGGCCACTGCCTCAGCAAAGGAGCTGAGCATGGCCTGTGGTGAGGGCATTGAGGAGCAAAAGGTCTGACGGGGGAGGAAAAAGTATGAAGGAAAGCAGGATTTTTCCTCAGGGTTGTTTGGTTTTTTTCAGTCTTCCTTGATAACAGAATCTATAATTAATAGATTGTTAATTGGCAAATAAATTAGATTCATGGAAATTCCCTGAAGGAGGAAACAGTTTTTGCCTGTGACAATATCCAACTGAAATTTCTCTGATACAATTTGTGACAGCTGGTCCTTGTTCTTTCCAAGATAGCTCTGAGAGCAGCCTGGCTGTGTCTTCCCTGTACCTTTCCACCACATGTCTGAAGACAGCAAGAGGATACTCCCTACCCATGGTCATCTCCAGCCAAGATCTAGGTCCTGTGCCCTGGTACATTTGCGTGGTCCAGGACCCAACCATCATGGTACCCCTTCACTGGTCTCACTCCAGTGAGCTGATTTCTCTCTTGTGCTGGGGAGCCCTACCCTGAGCACTGCAATGATGATGAAATCTTGTGCTGAATGGAGGAAGATAGTTATTTTCTTTAACATGCTGGCTACGCTCTCGCTAACGCAACCCCCAATATGGTTGGCTGTTGCCACCACAATGTCATGTTGTTGACTCATTTTCATGCATTGTTTACTCATGCTTAGTTGTCTGGGTGGTGAACATAGTCTTAAAATAAACCTGTGATGTGTAAATTCTTATGAAATAAGGAGGAAGGGATGTCAACAAACATAGCACTTTTTATTTTCTCAGCTCCATGGGTATTTATTTCCAAGCATACATTAATGAAAATCCCTATCTACTCTGTGTTTCATAGGTAGAAAATATCTTTGTGATTTCTGTCCTTTCAATAAATCCCTTTACCCTAAGGTAATTTCCTCATACTGCAATGATCTTTTGTAATCATGTTATTTGAAATAAAATGCCATGAGATAGCATTTCATGTAAGTTTTCCCAATTTCTTGAAAATCTCATCAGGAATTCTAGCTTGTATGTTCTATTGTTTGGAATATTTAGTTTACACAGGAGAAATGACAATTTTTCCATGCTTTATTTCAAGTTATGTTAATATTGTTCTTCATCTAATTCTAATATCTTAGCTGTCTGCTTTCATTAAAAAATAGGAAATCAAAATATCATCATTAATTGTAAAGCAAAATAAATTTCCCCGAATCATTCCAGTTGGAAAGCTGTCTAGAGATCTAGTCTACCCTGCCCTTCTGAAGGGTCAACTAGAGCAGGTTGCTCAAGACATTGTCCAGTCCAGTTTTGAACATCTTCAGTGGTGGATCCTCAACAACTTCTCTGGGTAACCTGTTCCAGTACCTGAGAATCCTCACTGTAAAAAGTTCTTGGTTTGATTCTTACTATAGAGGTAGTTTAGAAAAGCTATAAAATCAGCTGTGAACACCAGTGCCGCTCTCCAGAAGCTAAGGACTGAATTTGTATTGCTTGTCTATTTTCACAAAGTCTTTGAGCTCAGTCGAAGACTGTGGTGAAGTGCGACACAACCAAGCACGGTGTATTTTAATATCAAAATGCAGAGCTGTGTTCTTATATCAGGAATGGACGTTTGTAGTTCCAAGTTCTCAGTCAGAGCATAGATGGCTTATTTCTGACCCTCTCTTTGGAATGCCAGGACAGAGGGGCATTTCCAAATGCATCCAGTCTGCCCTTGGAAAGTGCTTTGCAAATTGTGTGAGACACATGGATACTGGGGTAAAATTAAGTGACATCAAGAAGTCTTCTATCCCATTTCTTCCACCATGGTGCAGCATAATTATGCCAGTGCCATTTCTAAAGGAAATTTGATCAACTTGATCTTTACAGTGCCCTCCACAACACCTGACAGAGAAATTACATCCTATGCTATGCTGTCCTATTCTTTCCATGCATGTGGGAAACGCAGTGCCTCAAAGCCCTGTGTCCAAAGGGAGCAGTTTAATTGTCAAACTGGGGGCTGCCAGAGGGAGACGTGTGCCCTCTGTGCCTTCACCAACCAGCGTGCAAGAAAGGATCACATTTTCTTTGGCCTTCAGGAAAATGCCCACAAGGAATGATGGGGGTGGCTGGGTGATGGTGACAGCAGAAATGGGAGGTGAATTCTTGGTTTCCTCTAGGGTGGCTTGTCTGTCTAGAATATAAGATTCCAAAGAAACTCCAGAAGTTATTCTGGCACCAGGACCCAGAACTAACAGGTGTTTATTCATGTTGAGAAGCCACTTTTCCTTTGTTTTGGGAGCACATAGTGACACTGTGAAATTGCCACATGCTGGGTGCTGGCGGGTTGAGTGGCTCCTCTGCTGCATGATGAAATTGCATCCATTTGATTTTTCATTTTTGTTTTTGGGAAGAGTGAAGGTATCTAAGTGTTTTAACTGTCTGGGTGATACTGTGGATAGAAACTGTTTCAATTGAACATTGTCATGATGAACAGAATTTCAGTTTATCAATGTAGGATACCTGAAAGGCAAGGTATGCTGCCAGATTTTATTACTTTAATTCTGGGGAATATTTCTTTCCAAGCTGACTTAAAGAAAAATTCCTGTCTCCACAGTGATTTCTTAATCACGAGGCTTCGCAAGAAGACTGTATAAAACCCTGGAAGGCAATGATATGATGTAACGTGAACATCATTCTACCAAAAACCTAATCAACTTTTGTACTTGTATATCCTTATAAAGGGTCCATAACATTTCACTTTCCTTAATATACATGAATGATTTCCCAACTTACTTCCATGAAAACTGCAATTTTTTTGTCTCTTAGATCAGTTGTTATTACTCAGTTGTGTTATCTTTGTAGTCTGGTTTTTTTTTCATATATGTTTATAGATTTAATCATAAAATGGTCAGTCATTCCAGAACTGTAAGTGCACATTATTTATGGAGAAAAACAGAGTAAAACTACAGTGCCTGTCTTTTACTCCTGCTTTGATCAGGCAATGTGTGCTTGAAATTTTTTGGTGGTAGCTTTTATTTTAAACACTACCTTATAATTTTATCTATTTATATATTAGAGAATACTGATACTGAACATGAATTGAACTCTGATTTATGAGAGTGCAGAAACACAACAAAGATATTGCAGGGGCTAATGTGAGCATTTATTCTGTTATCCGTGGAGGGGATGACCTTTCAAATCCCTTCCAATTTCATTTACATTTGGAAGGAAATGTTATGCTTCCTTGACAACAAAATTTTTTGGCAAAACACACAACTAGTGTAACCACTGCCTTTCTACTCCACAGTGTTTCTGTGCCAACAGGATATTAGAGAAGGTGTCTCCTTGTCAGGTTAATCCAGTCTCTCCTGTAATCTATTTATTATGGGTCTGCATGTCAGGGTAGTATCTTCTGTTGCTGGTGCAAACATGGAAGTCTACTTGTCTGGCTCTATCTGTGACTGTATTTTTTTATCAACATGTAGTTTTATATTTCATTTTGTGAGCCATATTATTTGCAGAGATATCAGTACCTGCTTTACATACAATATAGAAGAATGCTCTAGAGAATTTCAGCTTGAATTCTTGTCAGCTTGGGAGTGTGCTTCTTAGAATGCTGACATGTCAAATGGAGACTTCATATCCTTAGAAAAAAACCTTTTTGATCCCTGAGTATTGACAGCCACATTAAATATTACTTTTCATAAATGAGCCAGAGTGCATCCTGATCCCACCTTGGTGTTCCTCTGGTACCTTCATCTTTCTTCATCCCTTTCTTTTTCCTCACTAGTCAGCTACTGGAATATGGTCCAGAGAAATCACTCCTGTTCAGTTAGCAATGCTCTCAGATTACTAATTGTAAAACAAATGTAATGCCGGCTGCCTTCCTTTCCCTTTACTTTTCTTGGATAGGAATTATCCTCTAACTGAAATAGTCTTTTTCCTTCTTTTCCCAGCCATTCCTCATGTTCATTGAATCCACTTAGAGTGGGAGTACAGTGACCCCCTGCACTGGTCCAGCAGCCAGTTCTCTTCAGTGCTCCATTGCCTTAATTGACCAGATGTCATGGTTTAACTCCAGCCAGCAACCAAGCACCACGCAGCTGCTTGCTCCCTCTGAACTTCAGCTCAGGTTCAGACCAATGTTCCAGCCTGTCCAGTGCAGCAGCACAAAACCAGCAGGAGCACCCTGGCCACCTGCCAGCCCAAGCTGGCAAACATCACCATGGCTGTTATCAAGATGTTCCCAGGCACAATTCAATAAGGTGAGAAGTAGCAGAGCACTGCAGTAAGCAACAAAAGCAAAAAACAGTCACTAACTAGCACTAGGCTCTAACATGTAGTCAGGAAAGAGAGCCACATGGCAAGCATAGGTGCCCACTCATAACCAGCTAAACAGCACTGACAGATATAAATTCAGTCTAGCACATCCCAATCAGATTTGTCATTAACTCAAGCCCTTCAAGCACCATGTTGGGCACTAAACAAGGACAATCATGGTTTAACCCCACTCAGCAGCCAAGCCCAGGCAGATGCTCATTCACTCCCTCCCTCACCTGCAGGATTAGGAAAGAGAATTAGAATGATAAAAGGTAGAAAACTCATGGGCTGAGATAAAGACAGTTTAATAGAGAAAGCTAAAGCTGTGCAAACAAGCAGAGCAAACGAGGGAATTAATTCCCATTGGGAGGTAGGTGTGTTCAGCCACCTCCAGGAGGGCAGGGCTCCATCATGTGCAATGTGCAATTACTTGGGAAGACAAAGGCCATCACTCCAAATGTGTTGTGTCTCTCCAACCCCTTCCTCAATTTTCTCCCCAGCTTGATATACTGAGCATGATGTCATATGGTACGGAAAATCCCTTTTGTCGGTTCGGGTCATCTGTCCCAGCTGTGTCTACTCCCAGCCTCCCATGCACCCCCAATTTCCTTGCCAGAGTGGTGGTACAAAAAGCAGAAAAGGCCTTGGCTCTGTGTAAGCCCTGTTCATCAATAACAAAAACATCTCTGTATTATCAACTCTGCTCAGCATAGATCTAAAACACAATCCCATGTCAGCCACTGTGAAGATGGTTAACCATCCCAGCTCAAATCAGCACTGTTAAAGGCTCGCTCTTAGCACTCATCTCTCATGTAAGTAGATCCTTACACAGCCACCATCTAGAGTGTTCTAGTTCTAGGTAAAGAGGCTTCAATTTATGTGTGCGAGATTAATATGCAGATCTGCAGTTCACATGCCTGTCTGCCATTTCCATGAGGTCTATTTAGAAGAATAATGTCTTCTTAAGAACTTTTCTGTCAGTAAAGCAAAAGATCAGTTCTTCAGTTTCTTCTGGCTCATTCTAAAGCTACAGGGTTACCGAAACAAATTTTTAGGAAGAGCCAGATTTCCACAACCAGAGACTAGTGCTGAATGGTTCAACCTCCAATTAGAGATTAGTGATCAGTGGTGTCATGAGCCTTCCAAATTTGGATCAGTAGTGTTTAATACCTTTATCAATGGCATGGACAGTGGGGTTGAGTGCACCCTCAGCAAATTTGTAGATTACACCAAGCTCAGTGGTGCGGTTGAGAGCCCTGAAGGACAGGATGCCATCCAGAGGGAGCTGGACAAGATCAAGAAGTAGTCCCATGGAAATCTCATGAGGGTCAACAAGGCTAAGTACAAGGTTCCCTGCCTGAATTGGGACAATCTCTGCTACCAATACAGGCTGGGGGATGAAGGGAATGAGAGCAGCCCTGCTGAGACAACTTGGGGATACACTGGTGGATGAGCAGCTGGACATAGCCAGCAAGGCACTCACAGCCCAGAAAGACAACGGCATCCTGGGCTGCATCAAAAGATATATTGCCAGTAAATTGAGGAAGGTGATTCTGCCCCTCTGCTTTGCTCTTGTGGGACACCATTGTGACACTGTGGTCCCCACCCTGCCTTTTTCTGCTTAATAGCCACCAGTGGTAGTTGTGATGGCTGTATCTGACTTACAGATATCAACCCAATAGCTAAGGGCCCTAAATCTTGCTCGACAACTAAGGGTAGTTAGTTTTGCCAACAACTCAGGGCTAGTTGAGCATGCAACAACTCAAAATACATCTGGTATGTAAGTATGACTGTAAGTCAATCTTCTTATTCCGTGAATAATGGATAGCCTGGGCCCATTGAGCCGTCCTGCATGGGAGTGAATTGCATGCCAGAATCTCCCCCTGAGCAGGAACATCTCTCAGACCTATTCCTTACGGCTGAGGGCCCTCTTACTGCAACAGATTCTTGGTAAGTGATTAATAGCATCCTAAACTTTGAAATCATAGCTTAGTGATATAAAGGATTGATTGTGCACAGATTATCCTTGAGGCATAAACCACTGACCTAGTCTGGGTCTAAGTCTGCATCCATCTAAATTCCCCTCAGAAAGCAGTTAAGAAAGCAGTGGTTTTTTTTCTGAACCTTGTGAGTCAACAGGAGGGTGTCCCTGACAGTTTTGTCTGACTCTGACCTTTATGCAGTAAAAATCAAGTGTACCGTGAATTAAATCTTGTTAAACCACTGTCACATTTGCTAACAGACTTTGTTAAATTGCTTGTTTATATCAATAAACATATTGCTACTTCTCTCTTACAGGTGAAGTGGATCGCTTAATCTGTGATACTGTCCTGGCGTACTGCATTCACTTTTGGAGTCCTCAGCACAGGAGAGACATGGACTTATTGGAGGGGCTACAGAGGAAGGCCACAAAAAAGAACAAAGCAATGAGACAGCTCTGACAGAGCTGGGGTTGTTCAGCCTGGAGAAGAAAAGGCTCCAGGAAGTCCTTTCAATACTTAAAAGAGGCTTATAAGCAAGACTAGAACAGTTTTTTGTTTTTTGTTTTTTGTTTTTTTTAATAGGGTCAGCAGTAATAGGACAAGGTCTCATTGTTTTAAAATAAAAGAGGATAGATTCAGAGTAGATATAAGGAAGAAATATTTTACAATGAAAGTGGTGAAAAACAGGAACAGGTTTCCCAGAAGGGTGTTAGGTGCTCCATCCCTGGAAACATTAAAGATTAGGTTGGACAGGGCTCTCAGCAGCCTGGTCTAGTTGAAGAGATCTCATTGCAGGTTTTGACTTGATGATCTTTAAAGGTTCCTTCTAACCCAAACTATTATATTTCAAATTACTTTGAGATCTCTTGCTTAATGGGAATGGCTTGGTTTTAAAAAAAATCAATAAACAAAAGACCAAGAAACCAACCCATTCTTCCTTATTGGGAGGACTGTTAGTTGACGTGGAACAGAATCTCTTGCAGAGAGGCAGACTGAAGGAGCACTTATTTTTGGCACCTAGAGTTAAAGATAAGTGAATAGCAACCAGGTAAAGAGGTGCCAGCTTCTTCAATAGCCTCTAATTGCCTGCAGCCACCGTGCAGGAAGGGTTGAGCCTTTAGGTGAGTGGCTGCATGAGGCTGTTAAAGAGGGCAAGAGGGCAAGCACAATGGAGCTTGGCTCTGCAACCTAGCAGATAGGGTGCTCATCTGGGAGGTGAAAATGACTGATTAGGCTTCTGAATCAAGATGAAGGCTTTTATCTGAAACCGCTACTGCCTCCACTAGCAAAATAATTCAGTGTAGATGGTTCAGAGTCTTCCTAGTGATTCTCTAGTGATTAGATGGGTAGATAATAGAGAACATCATTATGGTGAGCAATTTATTACCTCTGGCTAAAGGCTGAAAATGTGTCACCATTTTCAGTGCCCACAAAGCTAAATGAAATGAATGTCATCAGTGCTGTGTTTTGAAATAATCTACATGTGTTGGTTGTGCTCTGGGCCTGTTAGACCAGATTGAATTCACAGGAGTACTTAGTGTGTCTCTGAAATCTCATAGGTCTGCTAGAACAGGATGCTTACTTTTTCAGTGCACAGAACTATTTGATGAGAACAGGATGGCAACAACAGGAGTTCAGGGTTCTAAATTTAAGATAGAGGTATCTTGTCAGTTCACATTCTGGTCTTCTGTGTGAACAAGTTTTGGGGTCTTTTTTGTTGGTTTGGTTTTATTTTTTAGTTAAATTTGTTTGTTAAGTTTCAAACACTCACTGAAATCCTGAGGTAGTTCTTGAAATCTTTATTTGGATATAATCCATATTGCCTTCCTGTTGACAGTGGTAGATGAACATGCTTTGTAAGATGTTTTTAATCAGAGAACAAAAATAATCTTTATTGGAGTGCAGCTTACAGTACAGAAAATAAAAGGTACTATTGCATGCTGGCATCTACACCATAGTTTCACCTATTTAGTAATTCTTTTCTGCTTCCATTAATAATATAGTTTGGAACCTTATTTCAACTTTCCAGTTTTCACAGAATTCTGTTGACAAATTTTAAGTTCCTGCTTGAACAGGGAAGTTGAATCAGATGATCTCTGTAGGTCTTTTCCAACACAAACCATTCCATGATTCTATGAAAACTTGCATTTCTCACAACTTTTGCTGGCATGCCAATTAGTCATGCCTGCAGGGAAGTATCACACAGGCAGATGGAAGTGTCACCAATAGTCTTTCTCATGGGCTGTTGTTCACCTTTTCCCTGTGTTGGTGATTGTGCTGTAAAGAATTATTAATAAATACTGGAGCTCTACTCTGAACTGCAAATGTCTGAGATGGATCTAAGCTTACTTTGATAGGAGCCTACAACACATATTACATCTTAGGAATACTTTGTTAGTGAGAAGCTGTTTCTTAGTCTGCCCACTTCTTAGTCCCAGAGGTGTCTCTACAGTGCTTATCTGCATGTATGTTGACTGCTTTTTTTCACTATGAGTATGAATGTGTTTAATTTGTATATCTGAGATCCTGCAAGGATTTTTAAATTCCTTTGTCTTTAGCAAGGATTATTTAATTCCTTTGACTTTACTTACCTCTTTGTTGGCTAACATTAGCCATTTGCACTTCATTACCTGGTATGTGTTTGGGAGGTGTGCATATCTTGTGTGTCAATGTATGTGAAGTTTATTAAAATAGTTAAATGTATTATTGCTGCCTACAAGAATGACAAAGTAACATGTACATTTGGCCAGCTAGAGGCTCCCTTCAGTAATACCTATGTGTATTTAAACAGAGATCTATGGTTGTTTCACCACTTGCATAAGACCCTTGTGAATTGCCAGAAGATGCAATTTCTGTGAAAACTTGTTTGCTGTCTGTAATCCTGTAACAGCCTGCCAATCTGTAAAGGCTTGTATATGCTCTCAAGTTGAGAGCTGCTAACAGGTTTATAGGGCCCAGGAAGAAAACCAGCTTTTCTTAAAGGAACAGTTTTAAGTTGATTGAGCTGTTAGTTGAGGCCTGAGGCTGCAATTTATCAGCTGTCAAACAGAGAGCTTCTGCCTTGCCTATAATTGCTTTGGTTGCAGGCTAGATTAAAATGTACACCATTTATTTTTACATTAAAATTCTTAATTGTTCAATAATTAATACTGGAGAAAACTAGAAATTATCTGCTCTTTAATATTAAGGGAAGTCAGTGAGGCATGCAGGGGTGGCAATGGTAAGGTGCATGGCTGAGCATAGATCAAAGGGTACATGATGTTCCTGGTGCCAGGGACACCCAAGGCAGGGCAGGGAGCTCCTGCTTGCAGCCAGCAGCTCTCGTGAGAGAGGCTTCTGCAGGTCAGGCCTTGCCTGGAGCAACTGTGGGAGACTGAATGGCCCTGGGGAGCAATGGGACCAGGATGGGCAGATGGGGATTGAGAGGGTGCAGCTGTTAGCACAGAAGGGCATGTGAGAAGGGCCATGCACCCTGCCTGTGGGCCCACAGCCTAGGGAAGTGCTCTAAGTCTCTGCCATAATGGTGGGTACATGCCACAGATATAAAACCACTGATTCTACAGAGAAAGCCTCTGAGATATTTGAAGCTTCCTTGCAGATGGGCTGGTAAGAAAGGAGACTTCAGTAGAAGCAGTAGGTTGCAATGAGTGACCACACTCTTCTGCAGAAAAGGTAAATGTCTGCAAAAGATGTGCACAGGGTGTTGCATCAGCTGGCTGAGTTGCAGGAAACAGTTAAAAGGCTGTGCAATACTAGAGAGGCTGAGATGGAGATAGATAAGTGGTTTCAGAACCATACACTTGTAGCAGGTGACAGAGAATGTGATATCTTTGACCCTCATAACCCACAAAAGCCTGACTCTGCTTCATTCCCCACCCTCCAGCATTGCAATCAAAACCAGATATGAAGCTTTAACTGCTGTAGACACCTTTGAAAAAGGTCTGCGAGGAGAAACTATACCAGCAGCAGGCAGTGGATGCCACAGAAGGAAATGACAAATTCTTGTAGTGGGTGATGCACTGTTAAGGGGTATTGAAGCACCCATCTGTGGGCCTGAGAACAGGATATTCTTTGATGACAGTGGCCTGTTTGAGAAGGATGGAATCCACCTCTCTGGAAGCAGAAGGGTAATCTTCAGTAGCAGGCTGGACAACTTAGCAAGCTTGGCTTTAAACAGGAGGACCCTGGGGGTGGGGTTCAAAGTGGTAACACTTAAACCATTGCAACTAACTGTGGAATAAGTCAGGCCAACAGAGTCGTGACAAATTTTCCTTATTTGCCTGGCCAGATAGAGCCAGAAGGCAGCCACCTGATATATCAAGTGTGTGTCGATCAATGCACGCTATCTGAGGAACAAACAGGAGGAACTGGAACTTCATGCGTCAGTCAGAAAGTTATGATATCACAGGAATAACTGAACCATGGTGGGACAGCTCACATGACTGAAGAATTACAATGGATGGCAATGGGCTGTTTCATAAAGACAGGCAGGGATAAAGAGGAAAATGAGTCATGCTGTATGATAAAGAAAACCAGAATATGTAGAGGTAAACAACTGAGATTCTAGTTGGACGGAAGATGAACATTTTTCACAACAGGAACAATAAATAATTGGAATAATCTCACCAGGGAAGGAGAATTCCCCAATTTTGTCACTTTTAAGATTCAGCTGGAGAGGGTGTCGGCCATCTGGTGCTTTTTCTAAAAAAGATTGCAGCAGGTGATCCTTGAGGTCCTTTCCAACCTGGTATTCTATGATACTATGAAAATGCTTGTTTGTATTTACTATAAAGGATACACATAGCTCAACTCTAGTTCTACCCTTTTTGGGGTTTTTTTGGTTCTACCTGTTTTTTCCCCTGACCAGTTATGTTCCATCTTTAAAAAAAAAAAAAATAACATCTTAAACATCTAAATATAAGTCCTGACACCAGATGCAGTTACTCAATAGTGAAATTTTCAGGGGAACTTTTTGAGATAGCTGAATGCAATGTCATGTATCAGGAATAGAGAAAGTGGGGATTTGACAGGATGTGTTATTTCCTTCTGAGAAGCTGCAATTCTGAAAAGGAAACTAGAAATCCTGTTAGTTAATAATCTTATTTCACATCTCAGATTAAGTGTATAGAAAAATAAATTAATGTCATCCCTGCATACATGAAAAGGAATATTGAATAGGTATAGGGAAATTATTGTTCCACTGCATTTGCCAGTGAAAGTGTGTTTGGGAGGATGAAATAGGAAAGCCTTATCAATATGATTGCCTGGCAAAAGATTTAGAAAATACAGAGACTGAGATGGTAACAAGTTTTAAGATACCAAACCTTAGTTACTGAACAACTAGAAAACAATAGTACAGCCAAGATGAAGGCAATCTCCCCTTCTGGTTGAGCAATGCCCTTAGCTACAGATAGGTCCAAAGGTCAAATGGACTGTTCTGTCTCAAAGCCAAATGTATGGTTCATCCCACATCTGTAACCCTTCCCTGAAGCATCAAGTGTCTGTGACCCCATTGGCCCAATCTTGTTCCAGCCCACCTTGAAGCCCCCTGATAAGGAGTGCCTGAGGGGCCAGACCCTCTCTTGGAACTTCCTCTCTTAGGACTCTCCCTTGGAATATCCTCTCCCTCTTGGGATCCTCTCTTATCTCCCTCTACCCATTGCCTCTGCCTTCCCCCTCTCTCTAAGGCCTGCCACATGTCGTGTCTGGCGACTCCAAGCAGGGCCTTTCACCCTCTCTAATAAACCATATGTTCTAAGAGCAGCCTTCAGAGATCCCTCATCTCCATCCATCCAAACCATCTTGGAGTCCAGCACTCCTCACAAAAGTGGTTTTATATAACTTTACTCTCTAAATTGATCTGATTTTCCCACTGCAGGTTTTTCTCTGTTGGAGAAGAAATGCATAACATTTGAATAGCTCAGGGTATCCATGTCTCAGCAATGTTCAGAGTTTACACAAGGCATGCAGATTCCAGATTCCACCTCTGGGAAGTTAAGAGAAATCCTCTTGTGCTCCATCCTTTCCTTATCATTCAAATTTTAGGAAAATTTTGCAAACATCTTCATAGTATGATGTCATGTCTTCTATTCATTGATCATCAGAAAAGTAGTTGCTTCTGTCCATGCTCAAACTATTAGCAATGGCACCACACTATCCGCAGCTGGTCTGAATGAGGCAGGGCCTGGATATTGTTTCAGGCTTTCAGCAAATGTGTGCAGACAGTTTTGCATCATTTACTAACATATAAAAAGCTTGTTTTTGCAATCATACATTAGATTACTATTAAAGTGGAGGGAAAAATAAAAGAAAAATAATTTAGAGGCCAAAAGCTGCTCTTCCTTTTACTTCTGTTCCTCCTGAGTAGCCCCATAGTGCAGAGCGAATAAAAAGTAGTAGGGGTTGTCACACAAATTACTCTTTGTGGTGGGGTCCTTTTTCACATTATGGATTAGTTTAGCTCCTGGCACAGCAGAACCCTGCTGTGCTTGGTGGTTATTAAAACTTCTATAACAATAACAACAGTAGTGATAATAAGTGTACTGGAAAACTTCATACCTGTAGAATTAAAAAGGTAAAAACTGCTTCCTTATTCAATTACACATTAATTAATTATAATTATATATAAAGCTAATATTTGAGATTTGACTGTTTGGAAATTGTTTTGCCAAAGGGCCAGTGCCTTTTCTTACTAGGTTTTCATGATAATGCAGAATGATATATTTGTGTCACAACCTCCTATCTTGTCAGAGCACTGCTTCAGTGAAGAAATAATATCTAGTGATTTGTGTAGTAGTCCTTCTTGTGTCCTGATGGAAACAGGGAACCCACATGTATTTTAGTCTTAATATCTACTTGGAATTAAAATGCATTCAAAACTTTTTTGTCCATGTTGTCTTTGAAAGACAAGCAGTCCTATGGATACTTCACTCATGCATGTTTTCCCACCAGAAGACAGTACAAATTTGATTGAAATAATAAAGACTAAGAAAATAAATAGCTGTTTTCCTGTATTTGAGTTTCAGCTGGATTAAATTGTTTGGGGAAATACATATATATTTTATTTTTCTTTTTAGGATTATCAGACATAGGTCTGGATAGAAGAAACCAAAGGTTTCGTTCAGAGGTGAACACTGTAATGGCATTGGAGACAAAACAAGTGTAGTGCCTCCCATTTGACAGGTCTTTGTTTACCTTTTCAACTTTCCACTTTTAAATTTAGGTGAAACACATGACAAATCAGCATGGAACTTGATGACAAACCAACATGCAATTCAGTTATAAATAGACTGCCTACGTTAGTAACAGACTCAATCCA